CTCAGAACGGAGAAACCCAAGGTACCGATACCGCTACTCCCCGGACATCTCCTGCGGCACAGTCTGACCAGAATTCCGAAGCAAATCCAGCGGTGGCGACGAGGGCCTCCCTGGACCCCCAAAAATGGGAAAATGTGGATTGTACGGGAGTGACTGTATAGATACAGAGAGACTCGAGGTACAAATAGGGAGACACGTCCTGAAAAGAGTACTATTTATCTTTTTTACAGAGGCGTGGGCGCGTCGGTCACCGGCGCGCCACGATAGTTCAAGGGCCCTTGTGCGCCGATAGGGCGGTGCACAAATGAGCGAAGAGAGGCGCAGGAGGAGGAGACGCCGACAGGGGTCTGACAACCAAAGTCCCGACCATTCTTGCAGCCGAAACGCCACCACGCCTTAGAAAATGAAAGTCCTCTCACAATAGAAACCGTAGCCATTCCACGTGCTACCAGAGCTTCCGTGACATGCAGCTTGTACAGCTCCACGAACACGTAGGACTTGAGTGTCTCTAGGAGAGCTCCTTGAAGTGACTGTCCGAGCCAAGGTCCATGATGGGGTCTTCCGACTTCGCTGCGTCCGGTGCCTGCCCCATCTGATCCATGAAATCTGTGGTTCGATTCCGCGTTGGTCGCACTGATGGCCTGTGCGCTCCAGGACACGATCCGCCGCACTAAGCTCCTTGGCCCAGTGAGGGACCGTCTCTCGTCCTTGGGAAGCAGACTGACCTCGAGAATCAGGAGGTCGGAATCACCGAACTGCTCGTCTGAGTACGCGTGGGCACTCGGTAACGATGTCGGGATGGCCTTTGCCGCGAGGTACATCCTGGCCGTGTGATTCCAGACCCTGTACCATTCAAAGACTTGCACCTTCGCCTGCAGCTTGTCCCAGATCCCCCTCATCGTCGCAGCGTGAATCCAGAGCGCGTCGACGTAGACACTGCCTTCGGTCTAGCACCACTGCCCGTGGACATGCATCTTGGGACAGCCCGCGCGACGGTTGCAACCCACCTGCATCCCTGAGGGCTGGCGCCAGAGGACACATGCACCACGCGGCGGGGGCAAGAGGCACGGAGAGTTGTCCTTTCGCAGAAAGTGCCGCAGACGATTTCACAGCTCGAAGGTCCTGGCTTCAACTCGAACAGGCCCTTCTTGCTCCAGATAGATGCCAGCGCCGCCGAGTTGGCACCGTGGCAGGTAGTCTCGATATGGGCCCCCTTCTTGCCGAGCCCCTTGCAAGCTGCATCCCCCTCGCGCATACTCCACCATCCACCACTGCCCGGTTGGATACGCAGCTGGCCCCTTGCCATGAGGACCGTCGATGGGCCCTGAGATGCCCACGAGTAAAGCGAGCGCTTGCCCCACAGTGAGCTTCCACAACACACGCGACCGAAACGATCATACTGCAGGGCGTCGAGTAGGTGGTCTCTCGCCACGTCGGCCTTGTGGCCCGTCTTCCGGCGGTCGCTCATCATTTGGTTGAAGACCCTCTTGTTCCTCCTGGACAGCTCGTAGGTCTTATTCCAATGGGCTTTGATGCACTTTTCTTCAGGTCCAAGACACATCCCACCCTTCTCTGCTGGAGGTCCTTCCAATCCTGCAGCAGCGGCGCAATGATCAATAATCACCATATCCTTCATGGCGCCCCGCCCATTGGCGGAGGGCTCTCAACGAAGCCTTTGAGGAGGACCACTGCACCGCCCACCTCGCCGAGGTCCTCCAGCTCGCGCGCCATCTCTTCTCATCCGCCTGCCTCGCCGGGGATCTCGACCTGGCCCTCAATGTCATCGATGGCTCTCTCACCCTCTTTCGCCAGCCCCCCCCCCAGCTGTCGATTATAAACACATCTCCTCCTGAGGGGGATGCCATAAGTAACTGCCGATATTCGGAAGTTCGCTGCAGTACATGCCGGGGGCGATGGCCGGCGCTGCAGGTACCCAGCCAGGCAGATCACCACATGGCGTTGCGACGAGATCTGACTTCAGGCGGGGATCGGAAGGATCCTCGAGCTCGGTGTCCGCGCTCGTAGTCACCACTCTCGTCTCCTGTCTCCAGGTAGTCCTGCACAGTCTCGCACTCATACGCGCTGCACGACTCAATCACGACTCAGGGCGATGTCGAGTGGCATTTGCGTCGACAACTTCAGCCAAACACGAAAAGTAGTCTGTCTCGGGCACTGATGGTGCACGGCCATCATCTCCGACGTGGGATCGTTGAAGGTCGCGTCGAGGCTCGGATCCTGAGCGATCGGCTGAGCACGCCTCTTTAATACCAGGTAGTAAATCACATCATCGGTAGGCCAGCGTCCGTTCCTTCCAAATTCGGATGGCTTGTCCTTCATCGCCTTCACCTGCTCCACCATGCCATGCTTTGTGGGCAGGATCCTCTCCTTCCCCACAGTCGCGATGTAGCGCCGTGGCTCTCGCATGCTGGTAGAAGGTCTGGCGGCGCGATGACGTCGTCCAAGCTGACCGAGGCACGATAGTGATCTCCGGCGGGGAATCCCAGGCTCTGAACACCCTGATATACCACCTCATTACGAGAACGATACTACGGCCCCTTTCACCCCTGGTCGTCCGAAGTAGAAGATCCCATAGTTCATTCGCCGGGAATCCCCACCAGGTCGCCCAAAGGGATGCGCAGTCCAGCTTCTTCGTCAAGCCCCCGACTTGCCGCGCACCTGGCAGCGCAAACAAAGCCCAGGTTCCGCCCGTGAGCAACATCCAGATCGGCCCGATCGACTTGCCCTCCTGGAGTGGCGACCGCACTCGAGCACCTCACCTTGGAGCTTCGCCGATGGACCAAGACGTCGACGTTGTTATTATGATCGGGAAATAGGACGTAGACACCGACGGCCCCGACGCACTTCGGCCTCGGGGGGAGTGGCGCGTTCTCCCCGGCGGTCTCCTCGGCTGTCTCTTTGGCTGCGTCCTGCGCCGCGTGGCCACCGAGGTAGACGTTGACGCGAGGACGCTGCACTCCTGTCGCAGGTCTCTTGGCCCCCTTCACCGTTGGAGCTTCGCCCTCTGGTATCTCTGGAGTCGGCTCGGGCTCTTCTTGTTATTACTCTTTTGCTTCGGCCAGAGAGTCGGCAATGTGCTTCCTCTCAACGCAGCCTTCGTAGGCTGTCTTGCACTGCCGTAGGACGTCGCCGCCGTAGATGTGGCCACCTGATGCTGCACCAGGTTGTCCACTACGGGGCTCCCCGTCCGGCGCGATATATTCCTCCTGTTCGTCGTCGCCCTCGTTCGCGTCCTCGTCCTCGACCTCCTCGGACTGCTCGGTTCGGCGCTTGGCCTTCCTGTTATGCCGGCGCCTCCGGCGCTTATCCCGTCTTGCTTGCAGCCTTCGGACATGAGTTGAGTACGCGCGCGGCCTAGGCTCTCCTCGGTAGTTCCTCGGGCTCCTTTCGGCGCGTCTACTGCTTCCAACGGGCCCGCCAACACGCTGGCATGGCTTCTCTCGTCGTTCAACGCGCACATGATCCTGCAGGTTCGATTCCGCAGCTGCCTCTTGAAGTAGCGGTTCCAAGAAGCCCAGGCATGGCAATTGAAAGAGGACTGCGCGAGCTGGTTCTGTCTGGAACGCTGGATGCGTTGCACCTCCTCACGCACTGCGAACTTGCAGAGGAAGGTCGCCAGCCCCTCAGCGTAGTCTGCAGGATTCGCAGTCCCTGGGTCGAACACCCTGTGCACTAGCCCCTCGCATCGACGTCGAGCGCATACGAGTGCGTTATCCGCCTCGCCGCGCCGCTTGATAAACGCGTCCTGGCCCGATGCAGATCGAGGTACCGCTGCAGCTTGACCCGTTGAATTCAGCTCGAGACTCCTCTCCCGCCCCCTGCAGCTGGATGATCCTCCGTCGACGGCACAGCGAACCACCTTCAGCATCATGCATCCTGGTGGGCACGTGGACCAAACGACGATCTTCCAGCTCGAGGTTCTGGGTCGTGGCCATGAGGAGTGCAATGTGCGCCTTGATGCGGTGCCCATATGTATGTTTATCTGTATATACATAGTACGGTGTCGGATGGCATCCAATCCCTCGGGACATCCTTTTCGCATATGCGGTCGATGATCTTTTGGCATAAGCCCGCCATCTTCGCAACTACCTTCTTCTCGGCCTCTGATGACAGGGACTTCGCGTCGGCATCCTTCCTGACCACGTAAGTCGCGAAATCGCTGTCGCCGCCATCGCGTGCAATAATGCCTCGGCCTCTGGATTCGATGCGTCCCAGGGAGTACGGGTCGTGCACGTCGGTGGCCCTGCGCGGCACGTCACTCAGCTCCTCCTCGATCTCCGCAGTTCCCACGCCGCCCACGCCCATGGAATCTTGGAAGTCCGAACCGGGGCGAGTCTCATCCAGGGTGATCTGAAGGAAGTCCCAGTTGCTCTCACGCAACTCGCCTGCTCCAAGTTATTCTTGGAAGTCGCGATAGAAAGACGTGCCGGGATGATCTTCAGGGGGCGCCGCTAGAACCGAGCTGCGGGGGGTCGCCCAGGGGTCGTCGGACGACGCGGCCGCTGAGCCGCCGCCCACATTGTCATCGTGGTCCTCGCAGTCGTAGAAGGCGTCGCCCACGGCGTCGCCGTCGAAGTCGACTGGATCACCCTGTACTCCTCCAGAGACGGGTTGGTGGTCGAGTAGATGCACCAGGGCTCCAGGCGCCGGGCCTCGGGCGGCATGGCTGCGCACGTAGGAGAGATCCCAGCCACAAAGCCAAAATCGCAAGCTGTAAACGGTGGCACATCGTGAAAACATGCTGACACGTCCACTACACGAGGAGGGCAATACAGAAAATCGCAGATCGAGAATGATGAGTCTGCAGCAAGTCGGGCAGAAGAGATGGAAAGCTTCGGAGACACACGAGAGGAAGTAACTTGGCGGGGGAATAGTATTCGAAATGTTGGGTCTCGGATTGAGTTTCCGAATAGCCGAGCGATATGCTTTCCTCATGTCCATCTCCTCCCCCCCCCCCCAGTCATACGTAATCTAGCCGCCTG